ATATATATATATATATATATATATATATATATGTGTGTGTGTGTGTTTTCTTTTTGTGGTGCTGCTAGGAACATCAGCAGAGCACCTATGATGGAAAAGAAAGCAAACATAGAGCTTAGGTCTATTTTTCAATAAGAATATACTAAGAAAAGAATAAGAATTGTGATCTATGTGTAGATTTAGCAAAAAAATTATAACCCGTTACCGAAGAAAAAAAATAATCCATAGTTCATTGGGTTGGCATCATGAAGCAGAACTTGCTTAGCCAGACTTGTCATATTTAAGGTACCCTTACCTCTGGTTGCCAAAGGACCACTGGATGTAGAGCATGGCACTTACTGGCCGTTGTGAGCAGGAGCTGGGATCAGTGATGAACACGCAGACCTCCATCTTCATCAGGACAAACCAACTCTCCTCAGAGCAAACCCACCATGACAGTATTCACCTCTGAGCTCTCAGTTTGAGTGGGGCTTTGTATCATCCTGCCCCTCAGAGAGGACACGCCCCCACCCATCAATCACACACAGAACTGTCCTATCAAAGGAAGTTCTGGAAAACACCAAGTAGGTGGAGTGACAAATCAGAAGACTGATGTTCTTATTTTCTCTATATATACAGAGACAGCAGCGATGATGTTAGTGAGCACTCAATCTCTTAACAGTCAAACCTCTTGAGATAAAAAAAATCTACTTTGAGCTGTGGTTTCCTCATGATCAACCACACTAAGGGCCACCAGCTGCTGATGGATGACAGTTGCCCCAATTACGGGCCAGGACTATCTTCCCCATTGAAGCTGGAAGTCTACACAGGGCAGAAGGTGCTGGAAGATGAAAACAGAGAGCCAGCTGTAGATGCATGGGCTGCCTGTGGAAACCTTTGAGGACGGCTGCCCTAAATGGACTACTGCCACCTCTCTGCCCCCTTTTGTAATTTTTCTCCATCCAGCCATTTTCATTACTAAGGATCGCGGACCAAGCTCTTGCAGGACACTTACACGCACCTTTGGACAATTTTGCCATCTCAGTTCAATTCAGCATGTTTTTAGCCTCCGGGAGAAATTGGAAGAAACCCCATGACAACATGGGGAGAACATGCAAACTCCACACGCACACAGACTCAGAGCAGAGACTCAAACCTTTGTATTCAGTGGTAACTGTGCTAACCACAGTATTACCATGTCGCCCCCTTTATTTTTTCCTTTTTTTCCTAACTAGCCTGGCTCTTTATGCCCCCTGTGCCTCCTTGCACATCACACTGGTGGAGGATGTGAGATGCAGGAGATGCAAATGTCGACATATGTCTCCTTAACCAGGGTTCTGGGGGAGGTCCCTGTGACTCATTTGTTTATTACTAAGTATTAAGTTCCTCTGAAAAGATGGGGTGACTGGGAGTGATCGAAGAATGGCACAGCACACAGAGCATCTCGATCTGAAGGGTACTACTCTAGCCTAAGAAAAAGAAGTCTGAGGCTGTGAAGCCCTTTTTCCATCACCAAAAACCAGGTGCTGGCCTTCCTAGGACTGACTGGGTATTATCACTGTTTTAGGCTTAACGTCCATGATGCCATGAAGGAGGCACCTGATTGGTGATGATATTCAGATATTCTGTAGCATTCAAGCCATGCTGCACTTTTATCAGGGAGCCCAATGTGTGCCATGAATATGCCCGACACCATCACACCACCACCCCCAGCCAGCAGTGCTGACACATGGGGTGATTGACTCATAGACTCATGAGGGTTTCTCCATACCCTTACCCTCCTATCTCCGTGCAAGAGTCAACACGGAACAAAGAGGAAACTGCAGTTCAAATGTTTATTATGAAAGTAATTCTCATGTATAGTAAGTGTCATCTATATAAGTATTCTGAGAAAAAACAAAAATACATAATAGAACATCATTTCATTTCATGGATGATGTACCATTACATTCATGAATACGACAAATAAAAATCTTGAATGATTACTAATTGCAAAATATGTGTTAAAAATACTCCAAAATGTACAGTTAGATTTATTCCCTGTTTTCATAAAGGATAAATTATTTTGGATATAATATGAAAACCTTAATGATATGAAATTGATACCTCATATTTGTCATGCATTTGATTATTGTGGGGAGTTTGAACCATGGGTTAGAAAATGGTGGGAACACCAAGCCAGAGACCGAGCAGGAGAGTGATGCTCTAACAGGCAGATACAGAGACAACTCTGTCCTGGGTGTCCTTTCCCTTGTGCCCAGTGTTTCTTGGGAAAGGCTCTAGGCACCACAACCCTGTACTGCACAAGTGGTTATGGAGATGGGTGGATGGTGGATGAATTTTAAATAAGAAATGAACATACAGACGCTCCTCTACTTACGAACAAGTTACATTCCGAATGGCCGTTCGTAAATTGAAATGTTTGTAATTCGTTATTCAACATAATTTTAAGGGTACACACAAGTATAAAGAGCTGGGATGCTGGGCCATGCTGCTGCGTAACGCTGCTGTGCGGCGAGAGAAGCAGCCAGAAGTTGTACTACCCGGAATTGGCGCGGAGAACAAAATTGTATTTTGCGACAGGAAACGGAAGTCCAACAAACACAATTTGGACTTACAGTCCTCTTCGTTCGTATGTCTGAAAGTTCGTAAGTTGAAAGTTCGTAAGTAGAGGAGTGCCTGTATTTAACATACTGGGAAATTTTGGAACATTTTATATTAAAATTCCCACAGTTCTGGGAGCAGTTCTATCAACCATTTCTTAACATTTTTAAATCATAATTTAATTTCAAATTTTGCATTTTAATTTAAAAATATAATTAACATAACATACACAATCAGAAAATTCAATAGGGGTCAAATTTTTTTAAATATTTTTTGCAGGTGGACAACCACTGTGACCTAATCACGTTATAATGTATAAAATGTTTTAATGACAAAAAAACTAATTGCATTTATTGTAAAAAATAATATAACAAAAAAACCTCAACCAAAAATATTAGATATCATAAAAATGTGAATAGCAATGATGATCTGGTAGATGCTGCTATAAAAATAAAGCTCATTTGAAGAATAACTATGTGAAAGATCCTTCCTCAACTGCAGAGGCTCCTCCCCATACATTATCATATTCAATCTGGTTGGGGTCAGGGAGGCTCTCCCCAGGGGGCAGTGTGGTCAAGGCTCTTTCACCTACAGGGACAGTGTAGGGGACACAGGGTATTGACAAACTGTAACTGGGACTTGGAAGTGAGAGTAGTTGTACTTTAAGCAAGAGACATTAAGTTTATTAGTTTAATTGTGAGAGGCACGGATGAAATGATTAAAAATAATGTCAACCTATGTTAATCACATCCAAATTAGTTCTTTTATTCATAAATAATAAAATACAGATGATCAAACCATCTGGGAGGAGCATTATGATGAGAGGGAGAGACTTTGCTCCATTAGATGTGTGTAATGAGAAACTGACCTGGTAAAACATGTGGACTCTGCTCTATACCCTCAACATCATCATAGTTCTCTGTTGTGTCTCCTGTCACCATCAACCCTGAACCTGGGAAAAAGAGAGACCTCAGTACACAGGAGCCAATTGACTATTAGAGTTACTGCTTGTCTCACTTGAAAAAAAAAAAAACGCTCTAATAGATTTTAAAAGTCCACATAGTAACCCTAAGTTCACATAGAACATAATTCTAGTGCGTGGTTTAAATAAAAACAACGCTTGAAAATTAAAAAAAAAAAACAATTAGAAAATTAAGGACTCCTGAAAATATAAATGAGCATGGACTCATTCAAGAAACATGGTGAATGTTATGATTTACCAAAGAAATGCCCTGAGTCCTGCCCACCAGCATCAACATAGTCTGCTGGTGTATCTTTTATCACCAGGAGAGTATTCCATGAAAGTAGCTAAAAAAAAGGCAGACTTTCCCGAAAAAGTCAGACTCAGCCTACCTCCATCTCTAAACTTAGCCTCACATCGTTCCACGAACGCAGTTCAGTTTTAATTAATCAAGGTTCATTCAAGACAGACTTGTATAGTCTCACTTAGTGCGCACACCCGCAATATTTAAGAAGCCCAAATAAATGGATGAACGATACAGTGTTGCCAACTTAGAGACTTTGTCGCTATATTTAGCGAGTTTTTAGACCTCTCTGGCAACTCGTTTTCAAAAAAGCGACTAGCGACAAATCTAGCGACTTTTTATAGTGTTATTGGAGACTTTTGGAGACTCTGACGTGGAAGCACGTATCGTTCTTACTCTTCTCACCGAGCAGCGGGTGCTGCCGTGGGCTACCCTCCCGTCCCAAGGCACTCACAGGTGGACAGTCCTCGCGCAGCAGCCCCGCCCAGCTGCAGTCAGAGCAGGAGATGTTCACCTTTCCGCGTCCAGACTGCAAATTGAATCCAGACTGGCTGATCCTGCCCTGGCTTATTGCCAAAAACTCCGCCAAGTAAACAGTTAAATGACAGTTTTCAAGAATAAGTAATAAGTCGCTTTTGCCGGTGTTCTGTCGAAAAAGACTACCTATCGAGACGTGCTATCGAGCCTTTCTGCACATGTGCAGTTCCACCGTTTTGGGATTAGGGTTAGGTTTTAGGGGTTAGGGTTAGGATTAAGGTAAGGGGTTTTGGGGGGTTAGGGTTAGGGTAAGAGTTAGGGTTAGGGCTATCTATTAGCACTACGGTAGCATTTTTCAACAAGGCAGCATATATCGACAGAACCCCGGGACCAACGGACCTCGTCCGTTATAGACGATATTCCGTTATAATCGAGTCCACTATAAAGGGATTTTACTGTAATTATTTTGGAATTAATTGGAATGCTAAGACGTGATTTTATAGGCTTTCTTATATTGATTATGTAACAATCTCAACTCTGTTCTCCATATTATGGAAGTATCACGCAGAGCTTTACTTCAGAAAAGAAAAAGTTTTTATTCTCTGCTTTCTCGTCTTGGTTTTACTCACAGCACTGACTACAGGGTTCCATTTTTTATATACTGTACGTATATACAAGACTCATTCTCCCGCTAACTCAAACAAAATCATGTCATGTCAATCTGTTCCCACATGTCGGACGTTCTCTGAGACAACGCTAAACTAAGCCAGACAGTTAGCCTGGTCCGGACCAGGCTTGTTCGCAGGTATAAATTACCATGGTAATTCAGCGGGGATTCATGTAAGACACGTTGCTGGAACGGAACTGTCACTTAAGTAAGACTGACTTGTCGAAATAAGTCACATTTCCCCTTAATCCTGCTTCATGGAATACCCCCCAGGTCTCTCATTGACGTTGTTTACCCACGTTGTTTTTCCTATCGGAAATGGAGCAACCTCAGACGACAGCCACCCACTGGAGGAGGAAGAAGAAGGAGAGGAGATCAGAGGACGATTGTCCTGGGGACATGCTCTCTCTCGGCAGCTTCTCTCCTTGCCAGTGATTGAGGGAATCCCGTGTACATCACCGCCACGTCGCCCCCGCAGGTATTAAAAGCCTGCCTGGCCGCCGCAGAGCAGCCACCACTAGCAGCTTATCCCTTCTGGGAGGCACGCCTTGCCCATAAAGAGGCCAGAGCTACAGTATGTGGGATGCTATCCTATGGATCCCGAGGGCTCTTAAAGGGGCAACACCTGTTTTTATGGCACCGACCCTGGTGGCTCTTATTGATGTCCCTGACTCGTCTGTTGTGCCTGTCCCTCCGGCACCTGTTCTGCCTGTCCCGCTGGCGCCTGTTTTTGACTTGCCTGTGATGCCTGTTCCGGATCTGCTTGTACCGGCCCCAGCGAGGCTCCGGCACCGGCCGCTGCCGCGCCGCCCAGCGAGACTCTGCCTGCAACGCCCTCTGAGGTTCCTGCTGCGTTGCCATCCCCAAGGTACCTGTACCAGAGGTCCCTGATCTGCCCATCCAGCCTGTTCCTGACCTACCCATCTTGCCTGTTCCTGCAGTTCCGCTAGTCCCAGCAGCCAGGTCGCCGTCCGAGGTCCCGGCGCCTCCTCCGTCACCACCCGAGGTCGCTGCTGCAGCTCTGCCCCCACCTTCTGCTTCACCCGAGGCTCCTGCTGGAGGAGGTCCCAGACTATCAGAACACCGCTCCTCCCCCCTTGATGGAGGGAGAGGAGGAGCTTGAGTGGGACCCCTCAAGGACCTCTCTAATGGCCCCAAAAGACTCCTCCAGGAGGAGGACTCCTCTGCCATCACCCCAGAAGGGTTGATCCCAGCCAGATATGGATATGGGGTATTTGCATTTCCCGTCAGGTGCTGTCTTAGCTTTTGCCCTTGTGCTTGTTTTGTGTTTTGGTTCTGTTCATTGTGCCCCGGTAATGCTTTTGTCTTGTTTTTCAGGTCCTGTTTTCCCGGTCTCGTTCTGTCCGTCGCTCCCCTCGAGGCGTGCCTGGAGTGCCCACCTTGGGGGGGGGGAGGGGGGGTTCTGTCACGTCCCTCCGTCCAGCCCCCTTGTGGACCATGCCCACCTCGTTAACCCCGTGTCTGTTCCTGATTTGTGATCAGCTGTTTCCTGTTTGGCTTGTCTTGTGTATTTCAGTTCGCATTCAAGTCTGTTTCCCCAGGTCTGTCATTGACGTTGTTTACCGAGTGCTCCCCTGTCTGCCTATTCTCCCTGATAAACCCCGTTGCCCTTGGATTCTGGTCTCCCTAATCCTGCTTTCCCACACCGCGCTTGCTCGCCCGTTGACCAATCGCGACAGCTGCCACTTATGACTATTTTTCTATGGATTAATCTATCGACTATTTCACTGATTGGTCAAATAATGTAAACAATTAATTTTCCTCCAGAAAATTTAATAGATCATTAAGTTAAGTTTATTTTGGCAACAACAAATTGTGTTATTGCAGGGTTTTAGATAATGGATATGGGGTATTCAACATTATTTTACCCACAGTTTGTTAAGCAAATTAGTAGTATGCCTAAAATATTAATGAGATGCATATTGTGACACCCAAAAGTTAGCAATCTGCATTAATTTGATGTAAATTTATGCCTATTAAATTCGGGTAAGGGGAGCATGCCACATGCAACTATTTTGGTAAATCATGGAAGCATTTTTTATTTCCGTTCACAAATTATTTTCTTTTATTTAGTGTATTTAGTGTGTGTTTAGCAGCTACAAGGACAAAAGATATTAAAAAGCTCTCTATACTTTTGGTAATATTATAAACATGAATTGACAACACTTAGGGTGGTTTTGCTTATTCTGGTGGTCCAGTATGGCATCTCTGTGTTTTCTCTTCAGGCGCTCGTGCCATGTAGTATACTGTATGCCACTGAACTTAAGTAGTGATACTAAAGGAAAACATTTGTTATAATGAATTGAAGAGTTTTAGAAATCGTAATGGCAATTTCATTAACGTAATAAAAAAACGATGCGTCAATTTAAAATATTGACGTCGAGAAATTTAATTAAGACAATTAGGTGAAATGCAAATGAAAGAAGTTAGGATTCATTTCAACTGGGATACCTTAAATCAGGGGTGCCAAACTGCAGCCCTGGAGGGCCGGAGCCCTGCACAGTTTTTGGTCTACCCTCGTTTTACACACCTGATTCAACTCCTTGTTTTAAATACCACACAGCTCTTGAGCTAAATCATTTGTGGTGGAACAGGAAAAGAACTAAGCTACACAGGGCTCTGGCCTCCCAGGACTGGAGTTTGACACCCCTGTCTTAAATGCAAAAGATTATCTAGCTAACCAACAGATCTCGCTTCCTCATACAGGCCCCAGGTAACATTAGCTTCCCCATAAGACGCTAACTGAATGTTTTGATTTTAGCTTTGAATTACAGGAGCCTGAGCAATGTCATAACCTAAACTTTCATGTTGTTTGCAACCAGGAAGGAATATAATACGTGGCTATTATAAATCTTTGATAATACTATTTTCTCACTTGGATATCAATATTTGGCATATGTTAATATTATCAAAAAAATTATAATGCGTTATAACACTTTGTATTAACATAATACATTTCCCAGCTCTAACTGAAACAGTAACTCTGCCATATTCACAGAGTACAGCCCCTTACCTGAAAGGGGGTCTCCCTCACTGTCCTCCACATCTTCATATCCAGAGGGCAGCTCCTCAGAGAGGACACGTCCTGTGAAGGAGAGAGACAGTCAGTCCTGTGCTCAGGGAGACTCTGCATGAAGCTCCCTTTACTTGTTTCTGACTAAAGACATGATGTGTTAGAGTTCAGGTGCCACCTGAGAGGTGGAGAAATAAGGGGCATCCACCCCCCCCCCCCTCCAGGGTGATTCTGTAACTTGGGGAAATCAATATGTACAGTTTGAAGTGCTTTATTGCAAGAGAAAATAACAAAAGCACTAAAAACTACACAATCAGATATTAAAAAACAAAAATATAACAAACATAACATTCCGCCCGTCCCAAACACATGGAAACAATTAGTGACTGCAAATGTTCCCTAGAAAATATATCCTAAAGTGAAAAAAGTTATTCTGTTTCGGCAGCAGCTATTCAGTCAGTCACTGGCATGTTTCAAAGGTGGACTCACTCATTTGATAATTGATTTGATTTCACTTGTTCTATGTTATTCTCTGCACCATGACACACTAGAATATATATATGAAGTGATGCATATGAAAAGATGGGAGAAATCGTGCCCCATATCGATTCAATACGAGTCGTATTATAATAGACGGTTCACAATACTAAGTGAGAGTGGCTAATGCTCATGCTCAGGCAAGCTGACTGACACTCATATTGTCCACATCCTCTTTCTCCCTATTGGCTGGTTTCTCTCTCACCCTCAGGGCTTTACATCAATGCAGCTATGAGGCCCTCATGTGGTTTCTGAGCTCTAATAACACAGTAAAAAATAAAAAATCAGCAGGAAGGACACAGGTAGACATAATGATGCATATTCCTCTCCAGAAATCTCATTAAGTTGTATTAATAATATACCTCTAATGACTGAAAATCCACTGTCCCACTTTAATTCACTTCTCACTATTACCTATATGTGTGACTTTGTGACTGCAAAAGTTTGTTCATCTGAGTCTGCAGAGGTCAATAAGGTGAACTCACCCTCACGAGGGGCTCTGAAAGTCTCTCCCCAGGTCAGATTGTACTCTATCTCCTCATAAATGTCCTTTTGCAGAGGGGTGAGACCACAGTACACAGCTGTGGAGGTGGACCAAATAGGATTAATCAATGAAATCAGTCAGCCACCACATGATTTTAAATTCCAACCATCCTGCCACAGGGACAGTGTTCTACCATGTTGAACCACACATCTTCTCCAAAGAGAAATTGCCTTAGTGGGGAATTGAGGGCTTCCTGTGTGGCAAGTGAGAATTATACTACTGATTCACCAATGTTTCACCATAACAGATTTTATATGAACCATTCAGATACACCATTCAAGTCCTACAGCAATATCTTTCAGTACCTCTCTTCAGCACTCTGTTCTGGTACAACTGGACAGCTGTTATCACCAGCAGCAGGAAGAGAAGAGCTCCCAGTACCAGGGAGACCACAAAAGGAATGGACATGCCTTTCTGGGAGGGTACAACTGAAGGAGGAACTGACAGAGAGATTTCAGTACATCACGCATGAGACAGGGCAAAATAATTGTCCTAAACAAACATATGAACATGCAATAAAAAAAAAAAACATTAATCTTCTCACCACTTATTGAAGTCAAAATTGAGTAACAGAGTATAAAAATTATACCTTTTTTTGTTGTTGTGGATGCTGCTGGAATCCCTGAATGAGTAAATGGAGATAAATATATAAATAGAATTAATCATAAATTAGATTTATTCCTCAACATTATACATTAAATTCATGAACTTCACCTGTAGTGGCCTTATGCAGCGATGAACCTGTGAAATTGAAGCATTAAAATTTATTAATAAACATTCTGAGAGTTTAATATCTTTCTACAATTATTTAATGTAAAAGAGATAAGGCCATAATGTTGAGAATACAGTCTGTCTGCAGACCCAGTCCCACCTGCACAGGTAACACCAGCATCCTCCTTGTGGCTGCAGTTCCACTGGACCTGAAGAGAGTGAGGACAGTCCCACAGGTGGAGCTCATCACCCCT